GAAGGATGTCATGCTTGGCAGGTTGGAGGGTCGACGAAAGAGGGGGAGGCCTTCAAGGAGATGGATTGATACGGTGGCTGCGATGATGGGCTCAAGTGTGGCAGGGATTGTGGGGCTGGCGCGGGATCGGGCGGTGTTTCATTCTGCTGTGCATGGGGTCGCTATGAGTCAGAAACAACTCGACGGCACTTAACAACAACAACAACAACAACACCTTCTCTTATGAATATTTGCATGATACATATTTTTTCTATACTATCATTTTCAACCTGTCTATATTCTTATATTTGAAGTGAGTTTCTTATAGTATATAATTGGGTTATGTTTTTTTCATCTACTATACATATTTTTAATCTCTGCTTTTAATTGGTATATTTAGACTATTTACATTTAATGCAATTATTGCTGTGTTAGGACTTAAATCTGCCATTTTATTTTTAATTTTTCTGTTTTCTTTTTCCTGCCTTTTCGTGGATTACTTGATGTTTTTTAAAATTCCATTTTGATTTATCTGTAGTATTGTTGAGTGCATCTCTTTATATAACTCTTTTAGCTCCTCTAGCTATCACGTTGTATATACATAACTTACCATAGTGTATTAGTATCATCACTTTACCACTTTCAGTGAAGAGGAGAAATCTTACTTTCCACTACGTGCCCTTCAGTAGTATTTAGTGGGCTTGGTACAGAGTAAAAATTATTATTAGCATATTTTGTATGCCATTCCCAACTCTTTCTGTCACTAATACCAAAACACAGACTTCCAAACATTATTACTTTATGACAGTCATCCTGACTAGAGTTTAATTTTGTTGGAATTATAACTCTCTATCAAACCATGAGAATACATACTTGAATATTTCTAAACCTTTTGATAGTTTAGTAATGATGGTAGTGATAATCCCTTCAGTGGCGCTGAAGAATGGATTCTAGTCGGATGATCTACTGCTTTAAGACATTCCAGAGTACTCTCAAACTCCAGTTAAAACTCAGTGTCTCAAGAATGGGCATCGTGTGCAGTGTTTGAAAGGCCTAAGGGTCAGGAGCCTGTGTTACTAGACATTTGAAGTAATCTACTTACCTCCATTAGCAAAGAATAAAAAATTAAAAATCTTAAAGTAATTGCTTGGAATAAACTAAATTGGTCTGAAAGTAAACAGGATTATAAAATGAAATGTTTGACAGATACAGTGAAGTATACATCTTGATAATATGTTGAGAAAATGCCCCTTGCTGGCAGTTGTCTGTTTATTTATATATTTAATTGAAATATGCTTTTATTAATATTTCTAAAATATAAGTGATCTAATCACGTAAAATAAAGCTTTTTTCCATTTCCAAGCATGTATGTCTTTTTTTTTTTTTAATTTTTATTGTGATTTGGGTGAAATTAATTTTCCATACAGCAGCTCATACACATTTTGTCTCATGACATTGACCACAATTCCCTTCGATGTAACAGCTCTCTTCCCACTTCCTCCCCGTAGTTACCTCTTTCCTATGGCAGCTATGTCCTTTTATTTTTATTTGGGGGTGTTGTTGAGATTGAGTGAAGGTTGTGTGACTTCTTAAAAATTTCAGACAAACCATGAGGTAAAATTGTCTCTGCAAGTCAAATCTCTGTGTGGCCAGACTTCCTCAAGCATACCTTCACAGAGTTAGTAATGATTTTCTCTTTTGTTATCTTAGCTATCCATATGGAAATACTTTCAGTTAGAGGTTGATTTATATGTTCTTTTATCCAGAAGAAAGATAAAACTATGGTTTTAAAGCAAAGGGTACAAAGTAAAAGAATAAGATTGAAAACATTTGGTGTTATGGCAAAAGTAATTGAAATAAATAATAAATAGTAATTTCAATTCCCTAGGTTTTACCCATTCTTGAGATTCTGTATCATGTTGAAGAAAGAAGTTCACACCATGTGTATATGGCTCTTATAATATTATTGATTCTCACGGAAGATGATGGCTTCAATAGATCCATTCATGAAGTGGTAAGTGATCAGTACTTTGATTAGCATTACAGAGTTAACTATAGAAACATGTACCTCTGTAAGATTTACTACCGCTTTAGAATTTCTTCTTTCTTTTCCTTCTGGTCAATGTTTCTGCATGAACCTGTCTTAAAACTGGTACGTCTTTCTGCAGATTTATGAGGTGATTTGTTTTCTCGGAAAGACTATTAGCCACTGTTAAAAACTCTCTCAAGGTGGCTTCTTTACTATTTGGTGCAAATATTTTTTGTTGCCACTAGGTTCATTTTCTTTCTTCATTTTATTTTCACCTTTTAATTGTGGCAGATAATTGTCAGGCAGGTTTGCTCCTTGCCTACAGAATGAATCAAGAAATAGGGAACAAAAGCTATGTGAGCCCTTTAGTGAGTTATTTATACTTTTTATTAAACACTGTGAGAATTTCTAGACAACTATATGTTTTCCACAAGGAGCTCTGGGGGCGTAGTACCTAAGGCATTTGACTGCTAACCAGAAGGTTGGAGGTTTAAACTCCACGGAAGCAACACTGGCCAATCTACTTGTATAAAGATTTACCACCTCAGAACCCTATGGGGGTCGCTGTGAGTCAGAATCGACTAAATGGCAGTAAGTTTGTTTTTTTTTTGGTTATATATTTTCCACAGGGCAAACAAAGGGGAATTTTTAGGTGAATGCTAAATTAGATTCCTAATTTTCATAATAACATTGTAATTTCACTACATGGATACTCATTAAGTACTGTTGACTGTTAAATGAATTAAGACTACTCACAAAAACACTTCTTCAGTTCTGTTACATAATTGACACGCACAAGCAGATGTTAAGAACTAATGACTTCTGTTTCAAATTAGGGGGATAATTATTTTTAAATAAATGAACCGAGAGAGAGGTAAAACAAAACTATGCTCAACTGTGACCTTTCAAAAAGACAGAGACTCCTCTCTCTAGTAAAGTTGCCTAATGAGTATCCTGGGTTAGTATTGCCCTGTAGAGTTAGAGAAGTGGCTCTCACACTTTAGTTTTTCTACACTTAAAAATTATTGAGAACTCCAAAGAACGTTTGTTTATGTGGGTGATAATTCTCCACAAATACTGTTTTAGAAATTAAAACTTGTACAATTTAAAAATACGTAATTAGTGCATTTAAAAGTAGTATAATATCAGGGTTACGTTTACTTTGTAGAATGAATGCGGTAGTATTCCTTCCTTCTCTGTCTTTCAGAAGAGTTTAAACATTGCTGGTGTCAATTATTTTCTAAAGTTTGGGAGAATTCCCCAGTGAAGCCATTTGGCCTAGGACTTTTATTTGGTTGGGAGGTTTTTGGTTACTGATTTGATCTCTTTACTCGTTATGGGTCTGTTAAGACTTTATATTTCCTCTTGAGTCAGGTTGGGTGGATTGTGTGCTTCTAAGAATTTGTCCATTTCATCTAGGTTATCCGGTTTATTGCCATACAGTTGTTCATAATGTTGTTGTTGTTAGGTGCCATCAAGTCAGCTCCAACTCGTAGTGACCCCATGTACAACAGAACAAAACACTGCTCAGTCCTGTGCCAGCCTCACAATCCTTGCTATACCCAAACACATTGTTGCAGCCGCTGTGTCCATCTCATTGAGGGCCTTCCCCTTTCTTGTTGACCCTGTACTTTATCAAGCATGTTATCCTTCTGCAAGGAATGGTCACTTCTGAGAACATGACAAATGTAGGTGAGACAAAGTCTGGCCATTCTCACTTCCAAGTAGCGTTGCGGCTGCACCTCTTCCAGGCCAGGACAGATTTGTTTATTTTGGCAGTCCATGGTACTTTAGGTATTCTTTGCCAACACCACAACTCAAAAGCATCAACTCTCCTTCGGTCTTCCTTTTTCATTGTCCAGCTTTCACATGCATCTGAGGCTATTGAAAATACCGTGGCTTGGCCTGATGAGACCCCTGAGATTCTGGCCCCTAGCTACCCTTCAGGTCTGGAATTGAACCTGTTCCTATGGCTTCTAGCCAAACAGCATACAGGCATATGGTGTGACATCAGTTAGATACACTCCTGAGAGTGATCAGTCATGAACAGAAGGGCAGTGTTTACACAGGGAGACAGCTCAAGGGGCAGGAGTGCATGGGAGGAAAGGACACAGAGAAGAGGTAACTATGGAGAGGAAGTGGGAAGAGAGCTGTTAATAGTGGGGAATTGCAGTAAATGTCATGAGACAAAACATGTATGAACTGCTATAAGGAAAATGAATTCTCCCTGTAAACTTTCACCCAAATCACAATTAAAATTTAAGTAAGTTTTTTAGGAAAAGAAAATACCATGGCTTGAGTTAAGCACACTTTAGTCTTCAAAGAGACATCTTTGCTCTTCAGCACTTTATTTATTTATTTATTTTTTAATTGTGACTTGGGTGAAGATTTACAGAGCAAATTCACTTTCCATACAGCAGTTCACATATACTTTGTCGCATGTCATTGACCACAGTTTACCACAATGCAACAGCTCCCCTCCCACTTCCTCCCCATAGTTACCTCTTCCCAGTGTCCATCCCTGCATACTCTCCTGCCCCCTGAGCTGTCTCCCTGTGCATAAGCAGCCCTTCTTTCTCCCATGATTGTTCTCTCCAAGGAGTGTGTCTACTTGAGGTAAATGTTTAACTCACATGCCTGTACTTTGTTTGAATGGAAACCACAGGTGTGGGTTCAATTCTGCACCTGAAGCTAGGGGCCATAGTCTCAGTGGTTCCACCAGACTCTATTGGACCAACAAACCTGGTCCCAACCATCTTTTTCTTTTTTCCCCTCCAAATGATTTTGAGTTTTGTTCCACATTGTTCTCTCTCTCTATCCAGGATCTCCTACATCCCTTCCAAGTGGATGACAGTGGTAGCCGGGCACCATCTAGTTCTTCTGGTCTCACAGTTGTATAGGATGCAGATTGGATGATGTAGCAGTTGTGAGGACTGATTATTTCCATTAATTTGTTTTTCTTCTTTCTTCTTTGCTCTTGACGAGGAGAAGACCCATCGTTGCATCTAGATGGCAGCTTGCTAGCTTTTAAGATCCCAGTCGCTACTCGCCAAAGTAGGAGGTGGAACAATGTTTTGTATAGTATGTTATGCCAATTAAGCTTGATGTCCCCTGCAACTATGGTCCCAAGCCCACAGGATCAACTACTCAGTCGCTCTGGGTAGCTGGCTGTGACCAAGCAGTGACCACAACCTTGCCCCTTGTCAGCTCTACTATACACCTGGGGATTCTGATCATTCACATAAACTTATAGGACCATTGTCTGCCAACCCTATATATGATCTTGGATACACTCCTTATTTCATAGACATACCTAACCGTTTAGCCTGTCCACCTATCTATGCATCCATATACCCATGTTTGCCTTCACTGAGAAATCAGTACTGTATATGCAAAAGGGTTCATATTTGTTGTCTGTACTTCCCATATACCTCTCTATGTCTTTCTCATTCTCAATGCCGCCATATTGGTCACTCACATTTGGTACATTGCCTTTCTCTTTACCCAAATCAATATCTATCTCTATCTATCTAACAGCGTTCCCTCCCCTCCCCTCCCACCACTGGTAACCAACAAAATTTCCTTCAATAGATAAACCTTTCCTTAACTTTTACAGTAACGGACTAATACAATATTTGTCCTTTTGTGATTGACTTATTTCACTTATGCGGTGTTTTGCAGATTCTACATTATTCTTTAGCGTTGCATAGTATTCCATTGTGTGTATGTACCATATGGTTATCCATTCCTCAGTTGATGGACATCTAGGTTGTTTCCATGTTTTGGCTATTGTAAATAGTGCTGCGATGAACATGGGTGTGCATATATCTGTTCTTGTCATGGCTCTCACTTCTTTAAGGTATATACCTAGTAATGGGATGGCTGGGTCAAATGGTATTTCTAATTCCAACTTTTGAAGGAATCGCCATACTGCTTTCCACAATGGTTGTACCATTTTACAGTCCCACCAGCAGTGTATGAGAGTCCCAATCTCTCCACAACCTCGCCAGCATTTGTTATTTTCTGTCTTGTTGAACTTTGTGTTCAGCACTTTCAAGAGGTCTTTTGCAGCAGATTTTCCCAGTGCAATACATTGTCTGATTCCTTGACTGTTGCTTCCATTGGTGTTGGTTTTGGATTCAAGTAATATGAAATCTTTGATAACTTCAATCTTTTCTCCATTTATTGTGATGCCACTTATTGTCCATTTGCGAGGATTTTTCTTCAAGTCATCTTCACTTTCAACAATCAAAATTGTGTCATCTGCGTATCACAGGTTGTTACCAATTATTCTTCTGGCCCTGATCCCATGCTTTTCTTCATATAGTCCAGCTTCTCGGATTATTTGCTTAGCATATAGATTGAGTAAGTATGATGTAAGGATACAACCCTGACACACTCCCTTCCTGATTTTAAACCATGCACTATTTCCTTGTTCAGTTCAAACAACAGCCCTCCTGGTCTATGTACAGGTTCCTCATGAACACAATTAAGTGTTCTGGAATTCCCATTCTTCTCAATGCTATCCATAATTTGTTATGGTCCACACAGTCGAATGCCTTTGCACAGTCAATAAAACACAAGTAAACATCTTCCTGGTATTCTTTGCTTTCACCCAAGATCCATCTGACATCAGCAGTGATATCCTTTGTTTCACATCCTCTTCTGAATCCAGCTTGCATTTCTATAAGTTCTCTGTCAATATACTGCTGCAGCCAGTTTTGAATTACCTTCAGCAGGATTTTACTTGCATGTGATATTAATGATAATTGTTTGATAAGTTCCACATTCTGTGGGAATCACTTTTCTTTGGAATGGATACAAATATGGATCTCTTCCAGTCAGTTGATGATGTAGCTGTCTTCTAAATTTCTTGGCATAGATGAATAAGTGCCTTTAATGCAGCATCCATTCGTTGAAACATCTCAGTGGGTAGTCAATTCCTGGAGCCTTGTTTTTGCCAATTCCTTCAGTGGAGTTTCAAC